GAGACCCAAGTGCTCCAGGAGCTACGTCAGATGAATCAGTTGATGAAAACGCAACAGCTAGGGCCTGGAACGCCGAGAGGGCTAGTAAGCGCTGTGGCGCCTCCGACTTCTCCGCGCGACGGCGTTCCAGTTGTGAGCAGGAACGCCACGGGTTCGGCACTCGGGCCTCTACGTATTCGTCTCGGACCAGACACGCGTACCACCGAGGGTGAAGTGGTCTGTGGTCGTTGCGGTCGCATCGGGTGCAGCCGCCCAAGAGGACAAGGCCGTTGTAACAGATTCAACGAACTTTTTACTCTACGGAATGCAACAGGCCGAGGCCTCAAGGCAACTATCGGAACGGGGAACGCCGAAGAATGGAGTGTTTCCTCTGCGGAGAAGGGGACCACACAGTGGTGAAGTCTCCTACCTCGAGAGACTACTTGGCGCGGTGCGGAACGCGACAATGGGAACGCCCACCGGCGTGTCTCAACATTGAAGGGGGCAGGAGGAAGGGGGAAGGAAGTGTCGCTCCTTCCTCTTGCCTGACAGGCGACACAGAGGGAGCTGAGGGCTCACCAAGAACTATTGGTGAGGTCAAGGAGGCTCTAGTGGAATGTGGGAAAATTATGAAGGCGATCGTGGCGTTCCCGTCGCGAGCGTAAGGATGGAAACTTTGGATATTGAAACTGGAACAAACGACAAGGGCAGTCCAACGGAACGGGCTGGCTTAGAACGAGAAAAGGAGATAATGGGCTCTACGGAGAGGCCCGAACGAGGAAGAGTGAGAACGGCGGAGGCGACGGAACGCCACGACGTGGCCCAAGACTGGGAAGCAAGGACAACGGAACGTCCGAGACGGGTACAGAACGCCGGCAGAGGAGCAACGGAACGCTCAGAGGCCGCGTTGAAGCCCCAGGGGGAAATTGAGGAATGCGGGAAGATGGTAGATAAGACCGTCTGCTCCGAGCGAAGCAAGGGTGCGCTGGAATCGACACCAGAAGACGCCGCGGGAACCAGGATTAATC